ATTGTTCGAAGTAAGTCAATGTTGTAAATTCAAAATAAATTCACAAAAATGCATCCACCTATTGAAGGCTATACCTTTCAAATGCTCAAAAGTCTAAGAGCTATGAAAATGTAGAAGCAACGTACTGCAGTTTACTTAAATTGGTTTCTGATTGTCACGAAGAATTGCTTTCCGCAAAAAAAAAAACTCTAACAGAAAAGTAATGGCCTACTTTAGAGCACCATATGTAATGCTACAATGCACAGCCTCCCCTTCCTTCTCCTCACCTTCTTCTGCTTGTGCCTCTAAAGTATTAATGTATTAGTTTTGCTAATCTGATCATTTGCAAAACGAGTAGACATATTTTTCGGAGGGAAGTGGAGGAGAGCAAAGAGCAGTTAAATCTTTTGACCATTTCCTTTTTCAGAACCCGCAAACATCCCCTCCATTATCTTTAATTATGAAAGTGGGTCATTAGCAGATGAAAGAGCATTTACATGAAGACACCCTAACATGATTTACATTCTATGAAAAAATAGACTCATATTCTACTAACTGAGCAACTTAATATCCTAATGCCTTTTGTATATAAAACGGCAAATCATGATATAAACGGAGAACTAATGAATCTTTTCCCTTCCGTGCATATTCCATTCAAAATAGAATAGTAAGATAAAGTGATAATAAAAAGGCGGAATAGGCATCCCTCATCAGAAACGAGGATGTGGAAATTAACAGAACTACATTTTGATGAATCTATGAAAAAATACACATAGAACCTCAACTGCACTCCCATTCACAAGACAACAATAGGATGGACTTTTTTTAGGGAAAATTGAGGACTCAGCTATTAACTAGAATTTATGGGAAAACGAAATTCAATGTGGTTGTGAAGGAAGATCCACATCTGGAGCGCTGGCTAGGTCTAGAATTTATATATTCAAAATTTCAGAGCCAGGAGATGCTCCAACAAATATCACATGGAGGTTTGACGATAATGACAACCTTTTGATAGATTGGGATAAAGTTTTATATCCCAACGGGAATGTGGTAGGCTCAGAAAACTTAGGAAATCTGTATTCTATTCTCCTATTCGGTGTCATTTAGTCATACATCTTATACCTCTCCAATTTTGTCGATCGTGTAGCAGGACCACCTGTTCGGATACCGCAAATCCCATACAATGTTAATGTAACACTGCAGATATCTGCTGTAAACGAATGGGGTGAAGGATTAAAGTCTAACCCAATCACATTCCCAACACCTCATGGAGGTGAGCTCAATTTCATAAACTGTAAGGCAGCACCCTCGTCCGTCCTTTAAACCTTCTAGGACCTCGAGATGCACCATCGCTCACTTCTTTACTTTCCAAAGATGTAAAGGTGACCATTTCGTGGCTTCCACCAACGCAACCAAATGGGGAAATAAAGGCAGGCAAAAGAATTCATGATAAAAAGAACAGCTAGTGATACGGTAAACATTACAGGGATATACAATCTACTTCAAGAAAAATGGAGACACTAATGACGAGCCTTGGCAGTATGTGCAAGTGCATGCTAATCGTACCCGTTTCACCATAGACGAATCATTAGGATTGGAGGAAGATTCTCACTATATGATGAAGATTACGGCTACTAATGAGAGGCATGAAGGCCCAGCCTCTGAGGTAAGCTGGCGCAACTAGGGACACGAAGAGAATTCGACTCATAGGTTGAATTGTTTAGATTTCATGGTTTGACACTTACATCAATGTCGTTGAAGATCTTCCTGCTCCAGAGAATGTTACAGCCTTCCTGCGAAACACTTCACTTGTAGTCCACATTCCTTTGAAACATGCTTACCAGGTATACGGATTAGCGCGCGCTAAAAACATGGAATGTTTCAAATTTATAGACTTGTCTTTAGAACTACATCATATACGTTCGACCAGAATTCAGTGAACAATATTGGAAATACGAAGCCATTAATGTGACAGAAATGCAGGAGACAATAGTTGTTCAACACTTCCCACTAGACAAAAATGATAGGTTTGCATACATTTGTATCAGAGACTTGTAAAGCAATTCGTAACAGGAGTAGATCTGAGTTAGATTTAGCGAATAAGTGAACAATTTTAATGTTGGTAACATATCTTTAACATTATCTCAATTAACAGAATCTCGTATTTTGACGGAAGTGTATGGTGAACCTTCCATTTCTAAAACCAATTTCTTGGAATTTGGAGTACTTAGACGCTAAACTGGTGCTGATTTAGAAAAGAGTAGACCACCCATCCAAAATGAAATGTATATTCAAAAGTGCGCCTCAAAGGATTGATTTCAAACTCAGATCAGTGGGGTGATTCTTTCGCAAAAGCTGTGAAGATACTTTTCTTCGCAAAAAAAAATGACTTGGACGATCTAACACGATAGCAAAAAAGTTGAAAATTCA